TATACCAAGGGGTACTATAGCGACTACAGGGAAAACAAATCGAGAGGGGTCGCCATACTGATCCAAAAACGGGTACCATTCCATGAAACAGAGACTAAGTCAGACCCAGACGGAAGATACTTGTTCCTGAAGGGCACCATAGCCGAAACCACATATACATTCGCAAACATATATGCCCCTAATCAAAGGCACTATAGGTTTCTCCACCGCACCATACGCAAATTGCAAACCTTCACAGAGGGCATACTGATTTTGGGAGGGGACTTCAACCTGACAATGGACCCTAAATGGGATTCATCCTCCGGGTCATCCAGGGTCCCGACGCAACACCTAACCCACATAAAAGCCCTACTAAAACGCTCTAAGCACACCACCCAGACGAAAGGGACTATACGTTCCTGTCCCAACCACATAACACATATTCACGACTAGACTATTTCTTCACGACACACCATCACCTAGCCCTGGTGAAGACAACGGAGGTGGGAACGGCGACATGGTCTGACCACGCACCGGTGACTCTCATTCTCTCCTCCCCAGTATATAGGCCGAGGGCGATCAAATGGAGACTGAATGACTACCTGCTGTCCCTGCCGGATGTCCGGACAGAGACGGATGAGATCCTGAAGGATTACTTCACGACTAACACCCCGGACCAAACGTCGCCCACATACATCTGGGAGGCACATAAATGCGTGATTAGGGGCCACTTTATGCGCAAGGGGTCGTGACTCAAGAGACAAAGAGAAGCACGTATCACGTCACTAATACATGACATACAGACAACAGATGACAGTAACAAAAGGGACAACCTCCCCACATACCAGGCTAAGCTACTCGAGCTGAGAAGGGAACTGTTCACACTCCTGAACGCCAGCCACCATGGAGAAGCTGCTAGACAAAAAGCATTTTTTGAGGCGCATAGCAACAAGAGCGGTACACTGTTAGCAAGAATGCTGGCCAAACGTAGACAGCTGACATATATAGACAGAATTAAGGACAGGAAGGGAATAACGCACCACCTCCCCACTGATATACACAGGATCATACGCTCCTACTACACGGACCTCTACTCCCTACCGAACCCACAAGACGCACACGCTCGAGCCAGCCTCGCGGCCCGGATAACAGACTTCCTACACACCAACACACACACAAAAATGGAACAAGAAATAGCAGACGCGTTGGACGAACCCATCGCTATAGAAGAAATAGCGATGGCAGTCAAGGCCTCCAAACTGGGCAAAAGCCCGGGACCCGACGGCCTCCCACTGCGCTACTACAAAAGCTTCGCGGGGACCCTATATGCACCAATGCTGTCCTCTTTCAACGCGATCCGGGAGGGACACCGCCTGCCCCCGCAATCCCTACGGGCACACGTCACGCTCATCCTAAAAGAAGGGAAGGATGGCGATTATTGCAACAATTATAGACCTATTTCCCTCATAAATAGCGACACAAAGCTCTTAGCGAAAATCCTGGCGACCCGCCTGCAGCCGCACGTGCCCACCCTGGTACACCCGGACCAGGTGGGATTCGTGATGGGACGGGAAGCCAGGGACAACACAATTCAAGCTCTGTCAATAGCCCACGGGGGGGGCGGGGGGAGTAGGGGGCCTTCTCCTGCTATCCACGGACGCGGAGAAGGCCTTGGACAGGATTGGGTGGACTTACCTATTCCAGGCCCTCACGCACCTTGGCATAGGGGCATACATGCGAGGCTGGATTGAAGCACTGTATAGGCAACCCAAAGCCCAGATACTAGTGAATGGAACTCCCACAGAAGACTTCACAATACAAAATGGCACCAGGCAGGGATGTCCCCTGTCGCCAATCCTTTTCGTCCTAGCATTAGAGCCATTCCTACAAGCGATCAGAACGAGCCAGGACATCACGGGGATAATTAAGGGCACCACACAACACAAGGTTGCGGCCTAGGACGACGACCTTCTCTTCTTTGTTTCCAGACCTGAACTCTCACTCCCCAATATTATTAAAGCCTTCCGTGACTACGGGGAGATTTCAAATATGAAAATCAACTTTGCCAAATCATACATCCTTAACATATCCATACCCCACCAGCGGGAAACACCCCTCCGCCAGAGCTTCTCGTTCCAATGGGCAGACTCTAAAATTAGGTATCTAGGCATTTGGCTCACGAGAAACAGCACGGACCTTTTTACAGAAAACTTTGCCCAGATGCTGACCATACTCAAGAGAGATGCCGGGGAATGGTCATACCCCCACATCTCCTGGTTCGGCCGGGTCCAAGTTATTAAAATGAACTTCCTACCACGGCTACTATATCTGATGCAGACAATACCCTTATGTATCCCTAGGACATATTTTACCACCCTACACAGGACCATGAGAGAATACGTATGGAAAGGGAAGAAGCCTAGGCTAAAATTCTCACAACTCACACAACCCAGGGACCAGGGAGGTATGGCACTGCCAGACTTCCATTTATACTACATAGCGTGCCATCTTCTTAGAATAGTAGAATGGTCGAAACTTAACGTCCACAAACAATGGAAGACAGTGGAGGAGGCAGACCTGCAGATTCCCATAACACTGGCCCCATGGCTACCTAGAGGGAGGCGAGACAAGACACCCACATACGTGAGGAATACCTTACAAGTGTGGCACAGTATAGCAGACAGAGCTGGCCTGACCCCATACCCATCACCCCTACTTCCCTTGACACATAATGCAGATTTCCCATCGGGACTCGACCCACTAGCCCTTAGGAGCATTATCCCAGACCAGCTACCTCGGCTCCACCACATTTACACGACATCGGGCCGGAAGTCCCTCTCAGACCTCACGGGAGATCGGCCCCCGACCTTCATACAGACGTTCACATACGTGCAACTGACAAGCTATCTTCAGACCCTACCCCAGGGGGGGGCCCTACGACGCACCCCCACGGAATTCGAGCAACTATGCCTCGACCCAGAACCACTCCCACACGGGATATCCAAACTATACGGCCTACAACAAATACAGATCCCAGTGGAAACACCTAGGTTTAAGGGAAAGTGGGAAACGGCCCTGAACCGAAAATTTAGCGATGGTGAATGGGACAAAATCTGCACACTGACACACCACTGCGCGGTCTTCAGCAGACACCAGGAGACTGCATATAAATTGCTCACGCATTGGTATCGCACCCTGGACATTCTACACAACATACACCCAGTACACCCCGCACAATGCTGGCGATGCGGGACAGGAACAGGGACACACATACACATCTGGTGGTCCTGCGAGAAGATGCAACCTTTTTGGCGAGGGATACACAAACTCATACAGAAATTTTCAGACCACCCTCCACCCTTTGAACCGGCAGCAATGCTCCTACACCATACTGTGGTGCCTAGCAATATCTACAAACGATCTATGACCATAAGGATATTAAATATTGCCAAACAACTCATCCCCCTACACTGGAGGGACACTGAGCCCCCTACCCTTAGGGAATGGTTTGCGAAAATGGAGGACCTCAGGGTGACGGAAGACTTACACTTGACGGCTACAGATAGGTCACAGCGATACCTAGACATTTGGACGCACTGGATTCTGACAACATCAGGAGATAACTTCCTGGACGCACTAGGGGAAGACCGACCGAACCTGAGACCCCAGACCACTGTAAGAACAGATTAACAGCCCCTGCGAGACTCACATATGGAAGCCATGCTTGCCTACCAGTCCCCGCCAGAAGGTCTCCGTGGGGATACCCCCCCTTTCCCCACCCACCCCACCCAGACACCTGACTGACTGATAGGCGAAGTCACACTAGAACCTTCGCTCACCCTTGCACCGAACGCATCGAAAGCTGACAAAAACACTGAAATACACGGATATATGTAGAGACCCATAGACAGGCACAACGGGACCTGCAGGCCCCAGACGATACATGTCACACTGACCGCTTGAGACCCGAGGGTCTCCCACAACGGGCAATGGGACAAAGTAGGGGCCAGAGAGCCCTCACACAAGTCATACCCTTAGTAGGACATATAAGCACTGTTAACAGCACTGTATACAACATAATTGTGCAATGTAACTTTTACTCACATAATTGTATCTTACGCTTTGTACTGCCTCAGACTTACATAATCTGGCAAAGTATTTGCATATCTATTGTTCATTGTTGTACACTTACCTTGCGAAACTAGCCTCTGCGCAGGCAACTCCATGCTTTTACATTGCAATGTAGTGTGTTTAACATTATTATGCCATCAAAATAAAAACACTTCAATTTGAAAAAAAATAAAATAAATGAAGAGATGCACTCTCCGGACTTTACAATGAAAAAATGAGGATTTATTCCAATAGGTATTACCTTGAGAAAGACCTGAACAGATCGAAACGTCGGTTATTTTTTCGATGGAATACCTATTGGAATAAATCCTCTTTTTTTCATTGTAAAGTCCTGAGAGTGCATCTCTTTATTTATTTTCTTGTATATTGTTACAACATGGGATTGCACCCAGGCCAAAACTTATTGATAGCAGACAAATATATCACCAAAAAGATACAAATAGTGCAAAAAATAAAATATAACACACAATGATACTTAACTTCAGATAACGTGTAACAGCCTCCCTAGGTCGTTACCCAAGAAACGACCTATATCATATATAGGAAACCACAACAAAAGCAATTCGGGAATAGCTGTGTAAATCTACAGAGAGAACATAAGACAAAACATAGTGTAATATTGTTACAAAATACAATATTCTGTGCGCAGTTATCGGTTGCACTCACTAGATAGAAGTAGGTATAAAAGCTCTCAGGGTGCCTCCCCCGGTGTAATCGGGGGCCAAACAATCCTTCTGTTCACCTCCAATTTCGTGTCCCACCAAAAGACATCCACAGGACAGGGTTTAGAAAATTGGAAAAAATGTATTCAATAAAAGTATAAATATAAGCAGTCACCAATTTAGCATAGGATATGGATGCAGAAAAATAGTCCTACGTGTTTCGTTCATTATGAACTTACTCAGGGACCGCAATAAAATAATCACATGTATAAATACAAAGTATATTTTATACTTTGTATTTATACATGTGATTATTTTATTGCGGTCCCTGAGGAAGTTCATAACGAACGAAACGCGTAGGACTATTTTTCTGCATCCATATCCTATGCTAAATTGGTGACTGCTTATATTTATACTTTTATTGAATAAATCTTTTCCAATTTTCTAAACCCTGACCTGTGGATGTCTTTTGGTGGGACCCGAAATTGGAGGTGAACAGAAGGATTGTTTGGCCCCCCATTACACCGGGGGAGGCACCCTGAGAGCTTTTATACCTACTTCTATCTAGTGAGTGCAACCGATAACTGTGCACAGAATATTGTATTTTGTAACAATATTACACTGTTTTGTCTTATGTTCTCTCTGTAGATTTACACAGCTATTCCCGAATTGCTTTTGTTGTGGTTTCCAAAACTTATTGATGGCTGAGAAAGGGTGAGTGCCAAGATATCTATTTTTGTTTATATATATATATATAAAACAATGTTTGTTACCTCCTCCTCCACCGCCGCTTGCACCTACACTGCCACGGTCACTGCCTCCTCAACCTATGGGTCACTTAGTATAAACTATGTACACAATAGCAGAGGCTTGTGAAGGCCTTTCTCCATGCATCAGGAGTTGAGCTCAGTTTGAAAAATTACAGAGAATACCCTGCACTCCAACCCTCTCTCAAATGGATAATTCTGGTGATCTGGTGATGTTCTTCCAAAGCTAAAATCAAAAGATTCCATCTAGTGCTTTTTTATGGCTCAGCTGTATTTTTAATTTTTATGTTATTTTAAGTGATTTCCCTACCCACATTTGTTTGCAGGGCACTTGTCCTACTTTTACAACCATTTTACTTCCTTTTGCAGCCCTCTAGCCCTTTCCAGGACTTTTTTAGAGGCAGTTTTGTAGCCAAAAGTTTGGGTACCCATTGACTTCAATGGGGTTCGGGTTCAGGGTCAAGTTCGATCCTGAACCTGGACTTTTTTTTTCAAAGTTCGGCTGAACCCACCGGACCCGAACATCCAGGTGTCCGCTCAACTCTAGTTAGTATGTATTGATTTTTTCAATACCACATTTAAAGAACAATCCACTGCCCAAATCAAAACTAGAAAGATATACATTTTTCATTAGGGGTTAATCTAAAAACAGTTTGCAAAATGTGTAGATCTCTTGTCTGAAGTCTTTGCAAGCCCTCCTCTCCTAATCCCGCCCAGGCATTATGTGGCTGTCCAATCAGAGATTTCATAATACAGTTAATCAATGACAAGTATTTGCAAGGTACGTGCCCTGGGCAGTTGTCTGCCTCTTAACTAAACTAAGTGTCCAGGAAGTGACAGGACCAGTTGTCTGAGTTACAGCCAAGGGGAAGTGGGTGTAACAATGTTAATTTATAAAAGTGACAATTTTTATTGCAACATGCATTTTTTCTGAAATGGAAAAATGAGGACTTTTCACACATAAAACGCTTATTCATTACTGACATTTATAATGCTCCAACATATTCCACAGCAATGTATAACTTCAGCAAGATAAAATGCTGTGGGGGTCTACAGTGGCCTTTTAAATGAAAAAAAAAAATATTTTCAAAACTCTCTTTGCTATCTAGATTTGTTTAGGAAAATGCCTACATCTAAATAGTTCCTCCAAAGATACAGAAACTGTCCTATCAACTGTATACATTTGATTGAATTAGTATGATATAGTGTGATATAAGTGATCACATCAAATACGGTTTCCAGCTGTACGGTTATTGTAATAGTAATTTGTATTTTCAAATCCGTAGGTTTTTTCTTGCTATGTATTCAAGAAAAAAAAAATTCTGCTGTACACTGATCATCATTAAGCAAATTAATTTCAGAAACAAAATTTAAGAGTCAAATTGTTGGTCTAGTGAAATCTGAGATAAATGCTTTACATTTTACATGTTCTGCTGGTATCAAATATTATGCAGCTGATCCATACACATTTAAATATATATCCAGCATTAATGTTATGCCAAAAAAACGTAATAATAGAACCATCACACGGAACGTTTTGTTTTATTATTTGTACTAAAACCTGTCTTCTAATTTAACTATGATGGTTGAATTTACATCATTAGCAGTTATTTTATTTGTTTCATAAAAAAACTCTAATCAAATTGTGCATTAACCTTTTATTGGGAGTTCAGACATATGTGTATATAAATATTTAATTAGCAGCAACAGTCTGATCAATCCAGGATCTGAGAACTGTGACACGAGCGTAAACTCCAGGGGATGATGGGGAGCAGGTGGAACTTCCCCAGGACACGATTCCAGCCAGAGTCCAAGCTCCATTTCTTTGGCATACAAGAGGTCCACCAGAGTCACCCTGAAAGCAAAATGGATTAGTTAGTAAATAATAAAGTCAAAAATTATAAGACGTAAACACATCTATGTATCGAAAATGAATTTGGCGTGTACTTTTTTTTTAATATGAATATTCCTTTTTTTAATGTAGTCTAGTTTAAATAAAATCTTGCTAATGCACATGCAATAAGGTCCAGAAATATTTGAAAACTGACACAATTGTCATACTTTTGGCCTTGTACACCACCACAATGGATTTGAAATTCAACAACTAAGATGCAATTAAAGTGCAAAATGTCAGCTTTAACTCAAGGGGTTAAGCAAAATTATTGCATGAAATGTTTAGTAATTGCAACCATTTTCATACACAGTCCCATCTTTTAGGGGCTTTAATGTAATTGGACAAATTACCATAATCATAAATAAAATGGAGAATTCTTTGCGGTCAATGACTGCTTGAAGTCTGTAATGCATGGATATCACCAAATGTTTTTTTTTTTTTATCCTTTATGATGCTTTGCTAGGCCTTTACTGCAGCTGTATTCAGTAGTTGTTTGTTTGTGTGTGTTTCTGCCTTAAGTTTTGTCTTCAGCAAGAGAAATGCATGCTTAATCAGGTAGAGAACAGGTGATTGACTCAGCCATTGCAGAATATTCCCCTTCTTTGCCTTAAACAAAAATTCCTAGGTTGCATTTGCAGTATGTTGTTGTCATTGTCCATCTGTAATGTGAATCGTTGTCCAATTAACTTTGCTGAGTTTAACTGAATATGAGCAGACAATATATCCCTATACACTTCAGAATTCATCTGGTTGCTTCTGTCTTCTGTCACATCATCATTAAACACTAGTGACCCAGTGTCACTGGAAGCCATGCATGCCCATGCCATGCCACAGTATTTCACAAATGATGTGGTATGCTTTGGATCATGAACCATTCCAAGCTTTTTCCATACTTTTTTCTTCCCATCATTATGTTACAGGTTGATCATAGTTTCATCTGTCCACAGAATGCTGTTCCAGAACTGGGCTGGTTGTTTTAGATGTTTTTTGGGAAGTATAATCTAACCTTCCTATGCTTTTGAATGGTTTGCACCTTGAAGTCTTCTCTTTATGGTAGACTTGGATAATAATATGCCTACATCCTGAAGAGTGTTCTTAACTTGGCTGGATGCTGTGAAGGGGTTTTTATCTACCTTGAAAAATAAGGGGGCTGCATATTAAATAGCTGTAATTCCTTAACCCTTCCTCAAATTAAAGCTGAGAGGCTGCACTTGAAGCCAATATTCATTATTTAACTGTAACTTGAATTTATTTTGGTAAAAAAATATAAAAAAATTTGGCAGTGTCCAAATATTTCCAGACCTAACTGTATAAGAATAGGTAAACTGTGGTACACTGTAATCACTGTAAATTACTGTGGCTACAGGCCTTTATTTAAATTGACCCACCTTTCCTTGTACATAACATTTTTGTGAGTTTTCTTATAATCTGTTGTGTGTTTGCGCTGTTTTATGGTTACATTAACAATGTTATTATTTAAAAACAAAACAACAACAACAACAAAAACTGTATACCATGCAGGAGGAGGCTCCAGAAGCTCCAGCACAGACCATGGTGTTCAGGATTTTGCTTCCCCAGTATCTCTGGCAGTCAGTGTTGTTTAGAAGAGGCAGAGCCACCTGTTGCAGTTTGGTTGGAGTAACACGTGCTAGAGAAACCAAAAATACGGTGAGGAACAAATAAAACAGCATTGGGGACATTGGGATACCAAATAAACCAGTGCTCTACAGTTCAAAATACCATGGTCCACTTCTTCCCCACTAGAATATAGGATAAATAAGCAGTTAAATGTTTAGGGGTGCACTATGTAGTAACCCCCCCCTTATGCACCCACCCCAAGAAATTAACAACAATGTACCAACTGTGCACTCTAACAAGGGGATAATACAACAGAGCTAATATAATTAGCTCTTTATTACAATTCAAAAATATATCCAAAGCATAAACCAATAATAGACAATTGGCAGAGAAAAAAAAAAGTGCCAACAATACACGAGGTGGGGGACGTAGAAAAGAAGAAAAAGTCACATAAAGCACTCCAAACAAGCTGCGCATATTTTAGTAACAAATACACTGTCACATGAATAAAAATATACATAATTACCACAGATTTTACCTATCTAGAGTAGTAAGGCTATTTAAGCTGCTATCTATTCTCAGTACACTCTTGCACCTTGTTTTATGCTCTCCATAAGTTTAAAGGGTAATCCAGATGTGGACCCCTTGCTCAATGTGCCTAGAGAGATATCAGCTATGCCTCACTGATGATTCCTAACAAAGTTAAAATGATAATTTGGGGTTGCAGTGTCTCTTGTGTAGATGGAATTTGATCTCTCAACCCTGAACAAAAGTCCAGATTGGACCAACCAACCAACCCAGAACTAAGGGAAAATATAGCAAAGCCAAATCAGAAAATTATTACTTTCCCTGTGGGTGTGATCCCATATTCATAAAAACCACAACCAGCAGCGGCACTACACTTGGACAGCCCTACATAGATCGGTAAGGTATATTATATGAAATATGTATCCTGCCATGATTTGTTCTTATGGAATGGTAATTTGCTTACATGCAGCATCAATATATCCCCATCCAGTGGTGACACATCTCTCTCCACCATTGAAAGCATCAGCACTTGCAGCAATACACACTGGAGACACACGATTGTTTAAAGTAGCAGCACT